GAGAGAGAGAGAGAGAGAGAGAGAGAGAGAGAGAGAGAGAGAGAGATGGTAGTAGCCCTGGGGTACATCTGCACATAGGAATGGAACATAGATAAATTATCCTGCAAAGAGGACGAGAAATGAGTGGGAAGTGTGAAAGTGGAGACAGTATTTTTTTTCCCCAGGAGTTTGACTATGAAAAAAAAAGAGAGACATATAAAGCAATAGCTATAGGAATGCTTGCTGTAGAGGAGTCTGGGATTCAACCCAAACCTTTCAAGAGAGTAGCAGTGATTGGAGGAACTATGAAAATCTCTTTCAGAGAGATCCTGGTCCCACCCTGGTCCTCCCTCACTCTCCCTGTCTCTCATCACTTAGAAGATAATCACTGCATTGCACTCATTACAACATGAGAACCATAAGGCATAAAAAATCATAAGTCCAAGTCCCTAACTTCACAGAGGAAGGAAATGTAATTTCTTCAGATTATGTAAGGAGTGAGGAGGAGGAAGATGAGGAATATTTGGCCAATCCTGTCTGATGGAACCTCAAGCTATCTTGCAATTCAGGATTAAAGTTAAGGATAGCAAGTTTGTGAGTATGAATATAAGAGCTTGATTCTTCCCAATATCTCTCACCCTGACCTGATCACTATCATTTGTTCACCTGGTGCCCTTCTCTTGGAATGACCTTCCAGACAGCTCTATTCTTCCAATTCTCCCCTTCAGCTCAAATATCATCTCTATGAAGCCCTACCTCATCCCCCACCAGAAATGATCTCTCCCTCCTAGAAACTACCATGACATTTTTTTACTTTCCCATTTCACTTTATCACTTTTTGTGTTAATTTCATTCATTAATGAGTGAATGAATCAATAGATTTTTCTTCTGCTATAAAGTAAGGTCTTTATTAAATAGTCTCTCTGCTCTATGTTCTTTCCCAAGCAGTGTAAGGATTTGCTAAATAAGGTTGGTCATTTATTCATTCATTCAACAAGCATTTATTAATAACAATATATGCCAAATTCTGTGCTAAGTGTCTGAATATAATGACAAAAAATAAAAGTGACCTCCTGGCCTCAACAAGCTTACATTCTATTAAATCCTCAGACAAGCTGCCTCCAGGGGTCTCAGGGTGATCAATTTGCTGTCCTGGAAAATGTTTTCTTTGCCTTAAACATTGCACATTCTTGTTCAAGTCAGTTTTGGTCACTTGCTTCTTTTCTTTCACTGCTCATCCTTTTTCAAGGAATGAAGAAGTGAATGAGTATCGGGGAAGGGTAATAGAATACGTACCAAAGAGGTTTGCCACAATGTTCACTTTCCCATCATGGTAGTTATACAAGATGAATTTGGCATATTCATTTGGCTTAGAGCTTTCATAGTAGACATCATTAGTTCCATAATCTGTGAAATCAGGAGAGGGTAGAGATTAAAATTTCTGATGCTGCAAGAACTAGGGAAAAAACTTGATATCTATCTATAGTTGCATGCTAGGTAAAGGAATATCTCAGCCATCTCTGAAATTCCAAACAAACTATGGTTTTGTTCACAAACCTTTTTCAAGGTATACCTCCCGTCACCTGAGCCTTCCTGAGTCACAGAATGGTAGAGATGAAAGGGACATTGGGAGGCCATGTAGTCCAGGTATATCACTTTATAGATGGGGAAATTGAAGCTCAGAAAGGCAAAAGGACTTGTGCAAGGTCACACAATGATTTAGTTCCCATTTTAATCCTATCAAGGCTTATCTGACCTCTACAGCTATCAGAGGGACAGGAGTGGGAATGAAGGACAGCATTAGTTTGTATACTCTGGTTAATCAATGGGTCCATTAATTCATTTCAGTGAATAAAACTGAACTTTTCTTGTTTACACTTACAGTTCAATTTAAAATGATGTGCTTCCTTAGTCTTGAAAGCAGTAAGAGATAATGGAATGCATTGACCATTTTTCCTGGAAATAAAGATTAGTATTATATTAACACTTCAACTTTGCATAGTGAATTTTGTTTTCAAAATCTAATCCAGAAACCTCAGATTTGTCTCCAAAATTTACTAAAATTGTTTTCAGTCCATTTTTGTTGTTAATGTTTAGTCATTTCAGTCACATCTGACTCTTTGTGATTCATTTTGAGGTTCTCTTGACAAAGATACTGCAGTGGTTTTTTATTTCCTTCTCCACCTCATTTTACAGATGAGGAAACTGAGGCAAAAAGGGTTAAGTTACTTGCCCAAGGTCACACAGCTTATGTCTGAGGCCAGATTTGAACTCAGGTCTTCCTAACTCCAGGCCTGGCACTGTATCCAGTGAACTACCTATGTGCCTTCATCATTAATATAAAATTATAAACAATGAAGTCTCCTGAGTAACTTCTAATTGCTCAAAAAGAAACTATACTCACCATTTTAAAAATTGGTAAGAATATATTTTATTAAATTCTTATTTTCTGAAAATCTGTGATCAGTATATAGAATATATGTACCAGTTAAGTAAAATATTCATGCAAAAAGACTGCATAAGCAGATTTTGGGATATTGACTTTATTTGTGAAAAAACAGTCCCCAGGTGAACACTGTCAGAAGTCAGAAGATCTGGCTTTGAACCTCACTGTCAGTCAATCAACAAGTATTTATTAAGCACACTCTATGTTCCAGACACTTTGAAAAACACTGGGATGAAAAGAAAATTGTCTCTCCTTTCCCCAAAAAAGTGACCTTGAGCAAGTCACTTTATTCCTCTGAGATTCGGTGTTCTCACTTATACAATGGGGATAATAATCACCTGTGTAATTATGGAAAGAATTTTCTGTAAACTTGAAAGCACTGTGTAAATAGGAAATGATGTCATGACTATCTCGTTTCATCTCCACAACATCTAGAAAAGATGAGTAGAGTAATAATAATAGCATAGTCCCCATTTAAAAGATATAATTGAAACACAGACTTGAAAAGACACAGTCATTTAAGCACTAACAGTCAGTGAATGAATAAAGAATAGGACTCAGGTCAGGGTTTTCTCTTCTATGATTTTCTTCCTAGCAAAAAGTCTGGAATCAAGAGTCTGGGAGGACTGATGTAATCACACATTCCTTTTTGATGTCAATAAAGCATTCCAGGCATTTCAGACCTTATGGATGAAAGATGATTCTGTTGCTATTGTCTGGTATGACATCAATGTGTCCTAGTGACATTTGCTTCTCTCCTCTATCTCTCCTGTCTGTTCTCTCAGGAGAGCTATATCTGTGAACCTATCCTGTCTCCAAATTATGATGGATGACTCAGCAGTGATTTAGGGAGGGTGGGGGAGAAAGAAAGAATTGTCTCCACTAGCTTGTAGTTCAAAAGACCTCATTTGCAATCAATATTGCCCTTCCCTTGCACACACACTTCAAGTCTGTGTTATGCCTTTTATCAATCAATCCCAAAATATTTACTAAGTGTCTATTATGTACCAAGCACTGTTCTAGAAACTGGGAATACAAATAAGAATGAAATAATTCCTTTTTGAAAAGAGCTTACATTAGTATTGTTTCCCTTCCAAAGTGGCCTTTCATGTTTACGAGACTAACTTTACCATGGAAGTTTCATCACTGACTGATACCTAGGACAAGCAAGCTCAGCCTGTATTGGGAGATAGAGTCCAGCGCTGTGGCCCAGAAGTCTGTTACTTCCCCCAGCTAACACGAGCAGCACTTACCTTGTTAAAAAGTATCCATGCAAGTTTCCATGCTGTACGGTGATATTTTGGATAAAATATCTAAAGGGACCTTCCTCCTCAATCAGAGATCTGTTACTTGAGGCCAATACAACAGTGTGCCAGTGTCTAGAAAGCTGTGGGGAAAGGTCTGAATGAGAATGGAAGCAAACACCCTGATCACAAGATCATGGGATTTTGGACCTGGAATGAACTTTAGCCCAAACCCTTCATTCTATCACTGAAGAAATTGAGATTCCCTACCTCAATTCTGCCTTAGTGTATATATTTTCACCACGGAAAAGCAGAAAGAGTGTTAGAATCAGTGTTAGGAGATTTGAGTACCAGTTCTGGCTTTAACACTACTTAGCTGTGTGACCTTTGGCAATTTATTTGATTTTTCACTGCCAGTCATTATATATCTTGCCTTTAGATACAACTAACCAATTAGTTTTCTTTAAAAAAAAATTGGAGGGGAAAAGAGACGTAAAATTTTCATAAGGAGTAGGGAGCATCCTTATTGGGATCTTAACAGAGACATTCACTTATAAAACACTTGGAATAAACTTGGGTCCTTTCTCTGACTCTAATCAGTAAGGCCACCTGGGGAAATCCTCTTCCCCTCTTCTCTGACTGGGTCTGAGATCACTCTCCAAACCATGACAGAATCCATGTGGCATTCAAAAGCAGCTCAAATGCAGAAACAAAGCCCCAAGTTAACATTAGCATTCTATTGACAAAATCATTTTAAATGGCAGCTCAGTGAAAGAAAACCTCCAGGCTCCATGCCTTGGAGTGCCTGGCTCTTCTATGATATTTTCTAAGATCTATCAGCTCATTTTCTATGACAATAAGAAGCTGAGAAGATAGATTTCAATCAAGATCCCTGGGATTAGGTTTGTCTTTTGAAAGAACTGCATAATGGAATCTCAGGATTTTAGAACTACAGGGTCTTCAGAGGTTGCCTGGTCTATCCCCTTCATTTGACAAGTACAGAAAGCTCTCATATGGAATTATATGGTCAGGAACGAGAGGCTGAAACATTTCTCCTTACTCTTTTTTGAAGGATATACAAGTCACAGGCAAATATATATACATACAATCTTGCATCATTTCAGATTCTCAGATTTGCAGACAGCACAACTATTGGGAAGGACAGCTTTGAGTCAGAATACCTTGTAGAACTGTTGTGAGAATCAAATGAGATAATATCTATAAAATCCTTTGTAAACCTTAAAATGCCATATTTGTTGTTGTTGTTGTTGTTCAGTTATTTCAGTTATGTCCGACTCTGTGACCCCATTTGGGGTTTTCTTGGCAAAGATACTGGAGTGACTTGCCATTTCCTTCTCCAGCTCATTTTACAGATGAGAAAACTGAGGCAAACAAGGTTAAGTGACTTGCCCAGGGTTATACAGCTAGTAAGTATCTGAGGCCAGATTTGAATTGAGGAAGATGAGCCTTCCTGATTCCAAGTCTGACACTCTATCTATCGTATCACCTACCTACCCCTAAAATGCTAGCTATTAGAAGAGATACATTCACATATCTTTTCTATCTTGCCCAAAGTCCTGGTTCCGCCAGTCCTGTTGGGCAAAGAGAGGTTCTGTTCTCCTTGTCTGTTATTCCTGACCCCGCTTCCCCTCCCAACCCATTGCACCCCACCTACCTGCACCCATTTTTGTTCCTTTTCATCTGACAGGTCTTCCTCTGATCTGCTATACTCAGGTTGGAGGCCACAGACCAGGGCCAAGCCCATACTCAGCAGCAGAAGCTTCATCTTTCTGGGGATAGTCTCTCTGGGCCTGTAGTAGAAGCTGAAAATGTGAGAATGAATCTGGTGAATGTTCTGAGTTCCTAGGTCACTTCCTTTTATTCTCCTTCGTGGGCCTTAGTTCTTGTGATGCAGTGGCACTACAGTAACTCCTCCTACTACACTGAATAATACTTCATTCAGAGTCTTTCACCAATAATTATCACCACCCAATTATCCCAAGAACATCTCAGAAATTTTTACATTTCTGAAATGTGAATTTCTAAGAACAACCAGTGTTACATAGGACTAACTTCCTGGAATCAACTCTAGAACTGCCATGAGCCCAGATAATCCACTTTCTGTGTTTTGTCCCTTGGAAGTTCAGTGATATAATAGTCACTTATTTTTCCCATAAGTATGTGAGCTCCTTGGGTGCAGGGGCTATTTTTGCCTTTCTCTCTATTCGGTCACAGCCTAAACATAGTAAGCCTTAATAAATGCTGATTGACTACAAAACCCTGTTCTAGGCAATTTGAGAGGACTGATCAAAGAAGGATGAGTTCCCTCTGTGAGGCAGCTGATAGTCTATTTGTATGATTTCATCAAACATGTATTAAATGCTTTCTACTCACACAGTACTTGGTAACATGCAAATTTCAGATAAGTCTTGATAATACATGTCTTCATTGAGTTGACAGTCTGGTACACAAGAATGCGTTCTAAGTCAATTTTTTTTTTTTAGGCAATTGGGGTTAAGTTACTTGCCCAGGGTCACACTGCTAGTAAGTGTCAAGTGTTTGGTCTGAGGCTGGATTTGAACTCAGGTGCTCCTGACTTCAGGGCTGGTGCTCTATCCACTGACAATTTTTTTTTTTTGGTCTGGATCTATGATCTCAGAGGTGATGAAAACAGTCAGAGATGAAACTTTGTTTACCAAGGCAAATATTTTGCAATTTAAAATCACAACGAATTACTAGACCCTGAAAATACTGTTAAATGGGGAAGACGTGAGTTCCTCTGAAGCCACAGCAGCCTCTGCTGCTCCCAGCTGTCAGTAATTTCCAGGGCTTGTTTCAGTGTTGGCCTATTTCACTGACATTGGTAAGCTAGGACACACAGCTGGAGAAATTAGGCCATATGTATCAAGGAAGAATAGAAAGTCTGATTGAGCAAGTACAAGATTGTTTGTTTTGAAGGAATAATTCAGGAGCTGATAGAGAGGACAGCAATGCTCTACTTACTGTTCTATAGTAAGAAGGAGAGGAGGAAAAGAATAGGCATTCATATAGTACCTGGGCAGCTAGGAATCAAGAAGACCTGAGTTCAAGTTCAGATCCAGACACTTGCTAGCTGTGTGCCATTGGGTATATCACTTAACCCTGTTTGCCTCAATTTCCCCATCTGTAAAATGAGCTGGAGAAGGAAATGCAAACCACTCCCATATATTTGCAAAGAAAATTCCAAATGGGGTCACAAAGAGTCAGACAAAACTGAACAACATGGCTTCTACTATATTTAGCACACATTGTACTAAATGCTTTTTTAAATGCTTGTTTTATTCTATAAATTAAAATGAATAAATTTAAACTTTAAAAAAATGAATATTTCATTTGATCTTCACAAAAACCCTGGGAGCTAGGAGTTATTATCCTATAATTATAGTTATAGTTGAGAAAACTGAGGCAAACAGAGATTGTGACTGGACCAGAATCACACAACTAGAAAATATCTGAAGCCAGATTTAAACTCAGGCCTTCTTGACAAAAGGCCCAGCATTCTATCCACTGTGCCACTTGCAATGTTTAAAAAATATGGACTACTTCCTGAATATGCATCAAGAGACAAAATAGTGTCAATATTGTTGGATGCATCATGAGAGAATCTAGTTGCTTGGGAGCCCCAGTGAGATGTGAGAGAGACTGTGAGCATGAAGAGTTTAATACAGGGTGAAATAATAGATTAATAGAGGGAATTAATGCAAGGGGAACATCCCCCATCCTAAATTTTGAAAGCTATGAGACTGTATCTTGACTCTGGGCACTAATGCTATGGATAGATACATAGGTAACTATAGATATATTTGATAATTGGATAGTTAGATAACTAGATATAGTAGAAACTATAGTAGATAAGGGGATCAATGATAAAAGCCCAACATGTCTGACCTTGACAAATGTCTAATTCCCACCATGCTTACCCTTTGTTCTCCAGAGTTTGGAGAGAGATTTCATAGCATATACCAAAGAGCTTCCATGTCTTCCACCTTCGCCTCCAAACTCCACACTGATTATAGCCTTCTGTAATCACAAGCTATTAGAAAGCAGGTCTGTATCATGCAAGCTGATACTTCTCCTGTGAGTAGCTAGCAAACTTTCCTGCTCCCCTAATTCCTGTGGTCCACAGTCACCACCTCCACAAATGAACATAAATTTTCTAATAATTGCGTCCAAACCTCTTCTTCCCTGCTATTCCACTGTGCCTCATACACACACACACACACACACACACACACACACACACACACACACACATACCTCATTGTTATCACACTCTGTCCCTCTTCTTACATGCGGGGAAACTTAGCACCCCTATATTGTATCCTTGATTAATAGGCATAAGTAGGCAAATTTTGTCAAGGGAGAAGTAAGTAGTCATGGCCAGAGCAGGCCATCTGATTTGTCTTCAAACATGGTTTAGTAGAACAAATGTGGTGACCTGGAATGCATTACTCAATTAAGCAAGGCAGAACCTTAACTTACTGGGAGAGGAAACTCACTCCAACACTTCCCCCTCCCAATTAGGAAGTACATCTTCCTGTAAATCCACACCCCTCCTGGTAAGTTAATGCCCTGGGGACAAGCACTATTTGCCCAGTGCTTAACATCTCTCTCTCTCTCTCTCTCTCTCTCTCTCTCTCTCTCTCTCTCTCTCTCTCTCTCTCTCTCCCTTTCTCTCTCTCTCTCTCTCTTTCTTCCTCTCTCCCTCCCTCTCTCTCTCTCTCCCTCTCTCTGTCTCTCTCTCTCCCCCCCACCCCCTTTCATATTCCCATATCCCTATAGTGACTGGTGTGAATAAATCATTTCAACTCTCAAGACTCAATATTCTTCATGATAAAATGGGGATGATAATGGAGATGATAATTCTTGCACTACCTGTCTCATAAAATCTTTGAGGAAAAAGTGCTCTGTAAGCCTGAAAGTGCTATATAAACATGGACTATTATTATTATTATTAGTTCATTTTGTCCTCACAGCATCCAAAGAAGGTGAATAGAGCAGATACTATTGTCCAAAAATGAATAAGTATAACTAAGAAAAAAGTGTTAAGTGACTTGATTAGAGTCACATAGACAATTACTGAGAAGATAAAGACTAAACCTAAGTCCAGAGTTTCCTCTATGATTCTCTCCCTGACAAGGTGTTCAAGGACACTGACTTATTGATACCTTCTTTTTTGATGTGGATAAAACCTGCCAAGGATTTCTGGTCCCGCTGAAGAGCTATGAATCCCTTGTTATTGATGTGCTTATATCATGAGCAATCAATATCAGATTGGAATATACTTCTCTCACTTCTCCTTTACTCTTCTTTACATCTCAGGTTGTCAAGCACTCTCATTGCCTTATTATGGTTTTAATTTTCCCCTATCATAGTATTGACCCTGTGGTTAGCCAGTTCAAACTATAGTGTCCTGCACCCTGAATTTCTTGCTACCATGTTTTTCTATTTTGTGGCATATGTATATTTTTGTATACATGTACATATGTAGACACAGTTATACAAAGTAATTTGGAGAGAGAAGTAAAGAATGTGTTTATGCCTTCTCTCTTTCCTCTCGGGCCAGACAGTGGCAGCATGGAAAAGTGCCATGGTCTTCATACTGCTAGAAAGCTCCAAAGCCACAGGAGAGACCAAAAGTGGCATGGCAAACAATATAAGAAAGCTCATTTGGGCACTGCCTTGAAGGCCAACCCATTTAGAAGAGCATCTCACGCAAAAGGGATTGTCTTGGAAAAAGTTGGTGTAGAAGCCAAGCAGCCCAATTCTACCATCAGGAAGTGTGTGAGAGTCCAGCTGATTAAGAATGGCAAAAAAAAAATCACTGCCTTTGTTCCCAATGATGGCTGCTTGAACTTCATTGAGGAAAATGATGAAGTTTTGGTTGCTGGATTTGGTCGAAACGGTCATGCTGTTGGTGATACTCCTGGAGTCTGATTCAAGGTTGTAAAAGTTGCAAATGTTTCTCTTCTGGCCTTGTACAAAGGCAAGAAGGAGAGACCAAGATCATAAAAATTGTATGATGTCTTTGTCATAGTAAAAAATTTTCATGTTAAAAAAAAAGAATGTGTTTATAACTAGGGATATGAACAAATGCCTTATGGAGGAAATTATGACTAATGTACGCTTTAAAGAAAAGGGTAGGGCTCCTACAAGGAAAACAGGAAAATTCTGAAAACACTCCTGATATAGAGGAACAACTGTCAAAATGTAACCAGGGATTCAAGCCTGGTGTATTTGTATAAAACTCTTATCATTTGTATAAAACATGGAAAGATTTGCACAGAATAATAGACATCAAAATGAGTAGAACCAAAAGAACATTGTATACAGTAATAGCAATATTGTTTTAAGAATGACTGAATGAGTAAGTTATTTTGTCTATTATAAATACCCAAATTAACTATAAAGGACATATGAAGAAAGACACTATCTAAATCAAAAGAAAGAACTGATAAATAGAAGAATGTATAGAATGATTTTATATATATGGGGGTGTGTGCTTGTGTATGTGTGTGTGTGTATGCACACCTATTTGTGCCTCACAGTAGCCATCTCTGGGGGTGGGGAACAAGGAAGAAAAAAAGAAAAAAATTTACATGATAATTTTGTATATTTGAAAGGAATAGCAAGTTGTGCATAGTAGATTTGGAGTTTCATGTATGATTGTCTTTTTGATTGTACTATGTTGTGAAAATTCTTGTTTTATTCCATAAATTAAAAATAAAATTAAAAAAAAATACAAAA